GGCCCCCCCGGGGGGGGGGGGGGGCACTTGGGTATTTTTTGGGTGGGTATGTGCCGCCTGGCAGTCCAAATTGGCACCCCGTTCTAAAAACAATTTTCCCTAAAATTGATACCCCGTTCTAGAAATGGGCCGATTTTTTTATACCCCGTTCTAGAATTCGCCCTAAAACTGATACCCCGTTCTAGAAATGGGCCAATTTTTTATACTCCATTCTAGAAAGTTTGTAAATTGAAATATCCCTGTTTTTTAAAAGATATTTCTTTATTTGTTCGACTTACATCAAATAAATGCTTCTTCATAATCAGCAACAATTTCAGGCAAAAGATAAAGCCCTGATCCACAATTTTTTATGGGCCGTTCTAGAAAACGCCTCTGAAATGGATACCCCGTTCTAACCAGGACCTTCAAAATCACGACCCCGTTGGGCGGCACATACCCGTATAGGTAATGTATGGGAGTACCCCCCCGGGCTAGGCCCCTTGATTGTCACAGCCACCTACTTCAAAGAGAGTTGGCCGCCCACTTCAAAACATTTTGAAACCCCTGAGTGTAATGGTTAAAAGGTAAGAAATTAATGTAATATGACCCTGGTTCAAAGCTCCCAGTGGTTCTCCTCTTCTTAATGGTCTTCATTTTTTTAAAGGCTTAAAAATGTAAAATAAGTAATTAAAGCTGACCTCAGTGTGTAGGGTTCATGAGGTGTCCAACCTGTGTATCACGAACACCTTCAATGTAGCTTCAACCCTGAAGTGATCACCTGAGACAATTTTGTTGTAAGTGAAGGAAAGTGTTTGTATGTCAAAGGTACAAGCTTAGAAGCTACTTTTCAGTGAAGGTTTAGTCCAATTAAATACTATGTACAAGCACAGGGAGCTATTATTACTATAGATCACCCAGGCAGTAAGTTTACTCTGCTCCAGCTCTTTCATCCATCTGTAGGCGTTCATCATGAAGTATACGTAGTAAGACATCAGAAATCTGGTTTTCTTCTCCTGAAATTGGCACTAATTCATACTTCCCTCTACATTCTTCAGAATCATCCAAGATTTCTCTCAATTTACGGATAAACAGTACCACCTATCAACAAAAAGCATTTTCAGAAATATGATAGAGTTAAGTAGCAAAATTTGAATCCATTCAAATAAATGTAAAAAACCCTTTCTCTCTTCTGCTTGTTGGAGACTCTATATTTGTGTGTTCCTTTCATAATTGATTTTGTTGTCATGTGACAACAGGGTTTTTCTTTTACTACCATAATTTGGCCACACACAACAAGTTTATTTACTTGCAGTAAGGAACATAGATATTGACAACACAGACACAAGGCCAAAACTGAAACAGCTTTTGTAATGTTGTCAGCTGCTATATTAATAAGCCAGGTTCAAACACCAAACTTCACATGAGCCAAAACAAATTTGAATTTAGCCAGTAAAAATAAGTGGCAATAATAATTTTTTCTCCCGCTAAAATAATTTCATAAGGGGAAAATCAAGAACTGCGCTAGCAGATAACTAAGGGTAGGTTACGCTTATTTCCAAAATTATTACTGTTGACTCTAAGCCAGTAAGAAGACAGTGAGTTTAAGGTATAATGATATACATAGATTTAGACACCAAAATGAATATTTTGCCCGGGAAACTTTTTTTCACACGTCAACTTTAGAATTACCTGCTCATCTCGCTCTTGGCCACTCACTACCCCTTCCTCAGACATAGCATACAAGGACCTCAGAGGAACAGCATACTCCACTGCAACGTAAGGCGGTTCCGGATCAATCGTTCCATCTGGGCGTAGTATCTCTATTCGGTGCACACTGGTTTTGTACTTAAGTTTCGACACTCCACCTCGACTGCTCACAGTTAAGGTGAGATTATCAACAAATTTCATTCTATGGTCTGCGTTCTCAATTTTATCGTTTATGTAACATGTTTTTGGAATCAAAATAAACAGCTTGTGGATCGGAATCAGATACTTGTATTCCGTCTGTCCGATCCTCTGAGCAAGAATTGGAAGAACCATCTTCAAGTAGCCAAAATAGTAGCCCCAAGCTAGACCATCAGCCACATTTCTGTTATTAGTTTCGTTGATCTCTGATAATTCCACGCTAGAAATTTCTCGTAAGCCAATAAGAAACAATAAAAGTGGTGAAAGAAAGCAGTTAAGTGAGAAAAGGATCGCGTATTCTGAACGGCAACATGTGTTACAATGTTCGTACAAGAAATAAAACACAAAAAGAAGGGAAGCAATAACAACTACCAGAACAGTTCGGGCATACGGTCTGAAAGTGAAAGTGGAAGTAAAAACCTTTTTCCAACTTCCTTTATATCGAGTCTCCTTGTGGCGAATTTCTTCACTCACCAAACACAGTCTTCGCACAAGCTCGCCGAGGACAAAACTCAGAATGAGAAGGGCAAAACTAAAGAGCAGAAAATGAAATCCGACTCTGCCCTCTTTATTTTCTGAAGAATAAGCGATTGTGAAGTGAACAGCACTGGCCAGAACGATCATAAGCGAGGCAGTTATGACGGAAGTCCTTCCACGAGGCTTCGAAATTGGTCCAAATCCATTATTTTGCTGCTGGGGATCCATCTTGTGGGAAACTGAAAACTCTTGCTTTATAACTTTGAAAATTGAGAGAGGTGCTGCTGAAATGGNGGGGGGGGGGGGGGGGGGGGGGGGGTGAAGATCGGGAGCATTTCCCATTTTCAGTTCGTGGCTTGTGATTGGCCACAAGCAACGCGGAAATGCTACCAGGGCCAAGTTGTTCGAAGGCAGATCAGCGCTTAACCAGGGTTAAATTTAACCCCGGTTTCTCTTTCCTGTGTTCAAAAGCATTTTCTCAGATAATTTTCTGTGTTATTTTTAGAGCGTCTAATCATCAACTTGTCGACAAAAATAATTAAAACTTGACTACTTTTTAAGCCTCCAAATCTGAATTCAAATCTAGCACTAACCCTGGGTTATCTGAACCCAGCTTTGAACAACTCGGCCCTGAAGTACAAGTGTATTAAAAGTCGACAGGAAAAAAAGATAACCAAGATAACCAAGACAAAGCAATGAGAAATATTCGAATGTTTGGATTTTTTTTCCATGGTGGGTGGCTTAGACCACCAACGAAGACCTGCGAAGGTTTCTTTGACGGTTTCAAATGAAAAATATGGGGCTGTTTTGTTCAGCGTTATTTTCTCCTCTTCACCATAAAAATCAATTTGTTTCCGTACCTTCAATTTTGAACTCATGAGCGTAGCTACCTTACACGCCTGAAAACACGTGATGAAAAGATGTCAAAAATAGAAACAAACAAATAGAAAGGCAAAGCAAGAAAGTGAAAGAAGGTAAATAAGAGATAGAAAGCTGAAAAACAGTGAAAAGGCAAAGCAATTGCTCTCAAAGATTAAGAGAGATAATAAGCTCAGGATCCTGACAGAAAACAAACCAAAACAAATAAAAAAAATTAAGTGGCAGGGGTTTGAAAGGGAAACCCCCTTTACCTTAGCTTTGAAATGCCTGTCACGCAGTCTATCGTCTGCCTGAAGTTGGCTTGGAAAACTTTGCGGATCCCAGTTTTTTTCAGAGGGGGCGGGGTTCAATTTATGCACTCATCATTTCACGCAGTTACACGTTGGTTTCTACTTCATTGATGATATGCGCAGTACACGTGGTAAAATACCGTAAAATTCCGAAAATAAGCCCCGGGGCTTGTATTTTTCAAAGGCCCCTTTTGAGTAGCCTCCCCCGCAGGCGTTTTTAGGGGAGGGAAGGAATACGATCTCCCCTAAAAATGCCTGCGGTTGAGGCCAACTTTTGAGGGGCTTATTTTTGGAGGGGAATTTGCGTTTCGAAATCGATTGGGGTAGCCTTATAGTTGGAAGTAAATGTACCGTTTTAGCTTTGTTTTACTTTGTATTTGAGGGCAATTTTGCAAGTACAAGCCCTCGGGTAGTCTGCTACACAGCCGTTTTTAGTGTCGTCACGCAACGCGGGGAGGAGCGTTGCGTGACGACACTAAAAACTGCTGTGTAGCAGACTAGCCCTCGGGGGGCTTATATTAGAAGGGGCGATTTAACGGAGAGGTTTTTGCGTTACCGGTTTGGGGGCTTATATTTGGAGGGGCTTATTTTCGGAATTTTACGGTAACTTTGCTCAGATCTCAGATCTTAATTAAATCAAAATGATCAAATCTTATACTTTTCCATAAAGGGAAACGATAGTTTTATGTTTAAGGTACGAGATAAAGAGACCCTTCAGAGGTTATTTCAATTTCATGGTAGTTACTGCCTGGTAGCTAAAAAACGTTGCAACTGAGATCTTTAATTCTGAAGGTAAAAATAATTATTATAGGGGCATAGACGCCCGCCCCAAAATATGTCAGCTTATGTCGCCATTGTCATACGGCCGTACTGAGGTGAAATTCCACAAATCTTTGTTTTCCTACTAACTTCAAATGTCCCTTTCTTGTCAAAAATGAAATGCCTTCTCAAAGGTTATACAATGTTGCCTCATGTTGACTATAACACAAAGACTGATTGAAACTGCAAAAGTGACAAAGACAAGCCGGCAACAATAGCCTCTTCCTCCATATGTGAAACTAGGGACATAAGTAACCTCCCTTCCCCCATCCCACAAAAAAGGGTCTCTTTAGGGGAATGTTAAGCCTAAAACTACCTATCTGTAAACTGTTCCCTGAGGAAAGTACTTTGCATTTCCATGCTTGCTATCTAAAACACGGGAAAGTATCAACATCCTTCCCTCTAGGGCACTGTTCTTGTTACCACTCAAGAAGATTCCACTCAGCTTTTATCCCTGATCCACATCTGGACGGAAGCATTGGTACCAACACATCTGCAATTTCATCCTCGACTTCCCCGGAGATGAGCACTAATTCATACCTCCCTTTACATTCTTTACAACCTCCTAAGATTTCCCTCAATTTGCGATAAAACAGGACTACCTGTTGAAACAAAAGGTCCAAAAGCATTTTAAATTTTTGCTACCATAAAAACCAAACAATATCGTAAAATTCTGAAAATAAGTCCCTCCATGTATAAGCCCCTCCAAATATAAGCCCCCCAAACTCGTAACGCAAAAAACCCTCTGTTAAATCGCCAACCTCGCCAAAGCCAGGGAAAAGCGCCCCGGGGACGAGGTTGTTAAATCGCCCCTCCAAAAATAAGCCCCTCAAAAGGGGCCTTTGAATATAAGCCCCGGGGCTTATTTTCGGAATTTTACGGTATTCCTTTTTAGCACGCCAACAATACATCCCAGTTGCTTCCCCTCCAAACTTTGCCTAAGCATTGTTAAAATTTTTTTTAGGGACTCGAACACAATGCTCATTCAAAGGGGTGAGGAAGGAAGCAAACAGAATGTACTATGAAATGATGTAGAAGATGTGAATTAAAATAATTATTCAGAATCCCTTTAATAGGACAGTTATGGTAAACTTAATCTCCCCAAAATGAATTTCAGCATTTTTATCAATGTTGGCTACAAAATTTCCCGTTCATCTTTCCGACTTGGCAACTCAATTTACACCCTACATGTTGAGTCTTCCAGGAAATCACTTATGTATGGAAATCATCCAAGAGCATTGAAACAGCACCCTCCATACACAAGGAGGTTGGTGGTGCTAAAACCTACAGTGTTTGGCACTGAGCCTTATCATTTATTTTCGTAAGATCAGGTTTTCAGGAGTCACCTGAGAGATTTTCGGAGGGAGTCAATACAAGGAGAAGGGTTTTTCTGAAGGTCCATGATTATTGTCTAAAATGTTAATTTCTGAGGGGATCTGGCCAAAAACACCTCATCAGTGGGAGCGGGGGTGTTGATATTAAATGGCCAGAATGGCCCAAATTTGGGGACAGTGGAGAGTGTTACATTTTGCTACAAAAGGAAAGGCTATACGAAATAATATTCGATTAACTAAAAATGTTAACCTGTTCGGATCAAGTTACCTGTTCATCTCGCTCTTGGCGACTCAATCCACACTCGCTATGCTGAGACATATCGTACAGGGACATCAGGGGGGTGGCATACTCCAGAACCACGTAATATTTATCAACCTCTCCATCAGTGCGTGGCATCTCTATCTGGTGCGCGGTGTGCTGGTAGCGTCGCTTTGGTATCCCACCTCGGTGTGTCTCATACGGCTCGAGATTTCCAGCACTCTTAATTCTTACGTCTGCCTTCTTAATTTCATTGTAGGTGAAGCAATTTTTTGGAATCAATATGAAGAGCTTTTTCTGGATAATATCGTACCTGAAATTCGATTGCCCGATATTATCAACAAGTTTTGGAAGCACCATCTTCTAGTAGCCGAAATAGTAGCTCCAAGCTAGACCATCGGCCACATTTTTGTTTTCTCTCTCGTTGATCTGCGATACTTCCGCGCTAGAAGGTTCTCGCAAACCGACAAGAAACGAAAGTTGAGGGGCCAAGAAGCAGTTCAACGAGAGAAGTATCCAGTATTCTGATCGACAGAAGGTCTTGCAATCTTCCTACAAGGCGTAGTACAAGACAAAAGATGACACTGTCAGAAAGGCCACAACACCAACGACCAAAATAGAATGGCCGTATCGAAAAGTGAAAGTAGAATTGAGAAGTTTCTTCCAACTTCTTTCGTATCGAGTGTGCCTGTGTCGTCTTTCTTCGTTAACCAGACACACTCTTCGCACTAACTCGCTAAGGACTAAACTTAGGGTTAGAAGAGCGGCTCCAAAGAACAAAAAAAGGATTTCATCTTTGCTTTCCTTGATTGAAGAAAAGGCGATCGCATTTACGATGTGGACAGCACCACTGACAACGACCACAAGAAAAGCGTCGAAAACGGCACCGCTCCCACGAGGTTTCGAAAGTAGTCCAAATCCATTATTTGGCTGTTGGGAATCCATTCTGTGGGCAATGGGAAAACTGAAAATACTTGATTAAAATCTGACTTTTGACGAGTTGTCGAACGGTCCTTATGCGGTCTATGAATATTAAGGGGAATCGGATTCCCCTATTCTTCGCAAGTCTTGTGATTGGCTTAAGGCTACGCCATCTACTTGAAAAAGCATGGAAACAGACATCTGTTTCTTTTTATTTTTTTGGATAAAAATAAATTGCATTGATTTTTTTTTGCCACTGTTAGTGCCAGTATGTAAATTCCACAATCTTCAGCCTGCGATCTTCTCTCTTCTCAAAAAAGGAAATTCCTGATAATTTGCAAGTTATACTGAGCTGTGCCACAGATGATAACAAAAAATTAGTCTGTCGTCTATCTGGTAAAATGGAGATTTCGTTAGGCAAACTAACACTGCATGAACAACCAATTTTAATTGGTTATCCTAGCTGAGAGGGGAGGGGTGGACTTGGCCCAAGCTTGCATGGCAGAGCTTGTGGGCACGTCACAACACTGCATTCGCAAGTCCAAAAAAGTGCCTTATCCATGATCATTATAGGTAACCTCAAAACCTGAAAAGTTTAAAGGAAACCTTTGAAGGTAAATGGAAAAGTTGGTATAGAGGGGGTCGGTATACAGTAGTTTTTAAACAAGAGTTTGCAAACATAAGTCACTGTTTGAAGAGCAGACACGGGGAATCACACACATACCTAGAAAACTGGGGATCGTGGAAAATTTTGATCTGATCTTGAAATATTGTAAGCTGAATTTGAGACGAATATTATGATCTCGAAGCCTCATTCTTGCCTCTTTTTTCCGTAATTAACAGACTGTTGAACTTTTTACCATTAAAAGACAGTCAATTCAGTATAAACAAAACTGTGATGTAAGTTACACTGAAATTGGCTAATCCTGACACCTAAACAAAATTTATTGTTCATTATGAGCAGCACAGCATCAAGAAGGCAAATGAGAATATTATTCACAGACTAGAAAACCACTTACCTATCCTAAAAAATAACACTTGTAAACAAATTTGGAGGTTTACTGATTCTCTTAACCATGTCTCAGCAAGGTTCAGGTTTAAACATTTCCCAAAACCAGTGTTCTCCCTAACATGAATTTTAGCTCGGCAGGTTAGGGACTCTTCATGGCCGGAAAGGCAAAAAATATGCCCCTTGGGGGCCGGAGGGGAGGGGGTAGTGGAGTGAGGGATATGGCTCCACCCTAAGAGGAGTTAAGCTCTTTGAAACGTCATTCCTCCATTTTAAGATTAATTTTATGGAAATCAGCCTGTGAATGCAGGCGTTTAACAGCGTAGGAATGTCGCAAGTCAAAGTTCTCACGAGGACAGCGATGTACTGAATTTCAACACCAGACACGAACAATGTGATTCCAATGCGATTTAATCTGATGTCAAACACGTCAAACGATTGTCCTCTCTGTACGCCTGAATAGATTCGCAAATAAACGCAGTTAACTTTGCAGATAGATCTTTCGCATTAACTCTATCAAGCAACAACGCACGAGGTACGGCATTTTTGATCTTACGCGTCACTAATGTCTAACCAAAACTTAATTTTTAACTTAACAACAGTTACACAGCCATTGTATCTTTAGACAACAATTTCAAACGTTTGATCCCAATAATTTTACCCTGTCTTCAACGTTCTTTTTCCAAAATGCAGGCCCTTAAAAATAAAAGCTGTGTATTTTTACGGTACTTTTCGGTACTTTTTCCTTTTCTTTACGGTACTTTTTTTATTCATTCATTTCCTTGATCGGATTGGATCACAACTGTATTTTTTAAAACTACATAATATTTAATTTTAGTGAACCTTCAAGCGGTTGTAGGCGGTAACAAAAGTGTTGCTTCAAGCAGTAAATTTGCCAGTTATCGCCTGATAACAAGAACATTGCAACACTATGACTACTAGTACTATTTTCTTGACCAAGCCTAAAGGCTTTAGTCAAAAAGCATGATCATGTTAAAATTTAAGAATTATTACCATAAAAACAGCAATGTTCAACGTGCATATGCCACAGAGGTTCACCTGTAATATCTCCCCAAAACTTTAAAGTGTCACCTTTAGCTTCCCATTTTGATCACCCATAACATCAAGTGAGCTGAGCTGTAACAGGTGTTACAGGTGTTACAGGTTATGGTCCTTAATGACAGCTCTGATTACATCCATCAAGACCCAGGGAGGAGAGGGTTCTCTAATAACTTCTGGATGGGTGTGTGCCATCCCAGGTCTTTAACCCTGACCCTATTGAAGGATGAGACTACACCCAAGCGAAAAATCACAGATAAGAATTAGATGGCAAGACACAAACCTTCACTAAATTGCTTTCATAATACTAATCTAGATATCTAAGGATCTCACTAAGAACACAATGCCAACATGGGCAAAAATGATATCCTTTTTAAGGATCAAGATATTCAAAAACCATACGCTATCAGCTGGCACATACCTTAATCTAGCCCATACATTAGAGTACCCCCCCCCCGCCCTCTCCCCACACACACCCTGTGCATCAAAAGTACTGTGTCTATCATCAGCTATATATACATTAAAATATTCATATGGCATCCTCTTCATGACTCAGGGTTAGCATCTTCATCTTCCAACTGCAGCTTTTGATCTGTGTGGATCCGTACCAACACATCTGCANTATATATACATTAAAATATTCATATGGCATCCTCTTCATGACTCAGGGTTAGCATCTTCATCTTCCAACTGCAGCTTTTGATCTGTGTGGATCCGTACCAACACATCTGCAATCCCATTTTGATCTCTCCCACCTCTTTCACCCATTGGAGCTTTTTTTCCTGAGATTGGCACTAATTCATATTTCCCTTTACAGTCTTCACATTCTTCTAAGATTTCTTCTAATTTGCGGGTAAACAGCACCACCTACAACAACAACAACAATAACAACTATTAAAAATAATACATTATTATGGTAAACTATAAGATGAAGGCATATGTCAGGTAAGATGAAGACCATGGGATAAAAATTATTGAGGGTGTATGGTCACTTATAACACATTTAGCACTTAATAATACCAAAACATTAGCTGAAGTAATATTAAAGGTTTTTTTTTTCATTTTTTATCACATCCGAAGCTAATGACACACGGGTGCCCAGTTCCTATTTTTTCCTATTTTTTGAGCCTATTCCTATTTCCCCCTATTTTTAAACTAAAACCTCCTTAATTTTTCATATTTTTTAGCTGGTGAAGCCAAAATTTGTAACAAAATTGAAAATGGAATTATATTTGTATGTGTTTTTGAGTGAAATTTATCATAAAGCAATAAAAAGTAGCATGTTGACTTTGATGTTCTAATATTAGTAAAAATGACAGTTACATTTGTTCTTTCCATGACCTCTCTTGCCTTTAGGGTTCTGTTAACATTTTTCTTTATATTGTTACTTTTTGTATAATTTTCTAGTGCACCTACATGTTTTGTATGAAGTATTATAGTCCTCATGACTATTGAATGATATTTTGCATAGCCCACTGAAACTGCTTTTCAGTATCTGTACATGTTATTTTATTTTGAAGTCTTGCTTGCTTTTAATTGTTCATCTTTGAAACTGAAAACAGGATCAAGTTGTCCTCTCACAACACCGGCCGGATAAATCATCCAATCAGCTTCTTGTTTAAAAAGCCAATTCACTAGCTTATTCTGGATGCTACATGAAAAGAACAGACTAAAGTTTAGTTTACGGACTAGCTGTCTTGGTGAGCCCTTGTTAGCAGCTTAATACCTAAGTAATAGGTGAAGAATCCAATATTTTGGTTGCGAAACCGGTCTTGCAGTCATAGCTAAGCAGAGTGTTATGTTCTTCTTAGAACTTAACCATGACACACTTACAATCTGGTACCAAATAGATCAGTGTCATGTTGCATACACCGCGGAGAGCCCGGTTCTGTACTTAAAATTATGCAGTCTTTTGACTCAAACAAGCATATTCTCCACCAGCTGCCGATTGCAGATTAATGGAAGGAAAGCTTTCCATAGGACTTTTAAGTCCTAGTTCGATGTCCTTCAATGACAACTCAATCGTAAGAAATTTCTATCCTACGAAATTTCACTCTTCAAAGCTTTTCAAAGATTTGCCGTTAACTTGAAGGGAATTTCCATACGATCACCTTTGATTAAAGAACCACGCTCGACCTGTAGTCAATCATATCATTCTGATTACAGCCTAACTGAGCCATATCCTGAGTAAACTAAACGTTACTGATCATTTTCACTCCTTCTTAGCCGCGAAAGATCTTGATCTAAATCCTGTGAACATAGAATCTGTCGAGGACTCGTAGCCTTTATTATAACCCTGATGGGGTGCAGGGAGGCTATCTTTGTCAACAAAAGTAATTTTGATTTTCCTATTTTTCTCCTATTTTTTAATGCAAATTTTCCTATTTTTCCTATTTTCTCATTATCCTGAGTTTCCTATTTCCCTATTTTTTTGAGCAACCATGCCGCTGGACATCCTGTAACGATTAACCTTTAACGCTCATAATGTATAAATATCCTAGGTTGGATCATTAATGCATTTATTCATGTTAATGAGTATAGGCACCCTGTGGAAATTAACAACAGTGAAAAAACAAGCTGGTGATTGAAACAAGAGTGGTTGCAGTCGCTTACAGTCAGCCAGTTGCTTACAAGAGCTTTTCATCACAAATTATAACGTAGCTAGAATTTTCATCTAATCAAGCGAGCGAGCGCTAGCGTGCTTCATATTCCCATCGAGTATGTTGATGACGTTAATAAAACCGTACCTCAAGTTGTTCTGAGCTTAGCAGTCCTCCCACGTCAACAAGACAACTCCCAAGTGCATCAATGAAGCGTTTACCATGTGTTTTATAAGGTAAATTTAAGAGAAAACTTTTGAATTTGTTAACCCATAGCAGAGAAAAGAGCTGAGTGTTGCTGCTGTTGTAATGTCATCATTTCTAATGAGCTGTGTAGATTATGGCATATATATGTGCAGATCATTTGCAGAGTTGTTTATCTCAAAAATAATTTTTCAGTGAATTAATAGTTTTTCGGCATCTCAATATGGATTCTACAATATTTTTGAGAGTTATCAACTTTAGTAAACTTTCTCTCAGTTTTAGGGAAAAAACATAACTGTGAGGAAAAAATATAAAGTCACGTAGACATTGACGCGTACTGCTTTGAGAGCACAATACAATAATAAAATCTTAAGTTAACTCCTGCATTTATCGTGCTAGATCGAGTTACTTGAGGCACAACTTACGCCTCTTTCGTGCTCTCCAAACTTCCCGCGTGCTACTCAAGACATATGCATGCTGATGCATGAACTAATTGTTAAGTTTAAGTTAGGGTAGCCAGAATTTCAGACATATCCTTGAGTCACATACTTTGAAATTCAGGCTAAAAAGTCACAGTCCAAATGGCACAATAGGCTACTTGCACTACGAGGTCACATGACCAATGCTTCCTTTAAACAATGACTTGGAATAAATTTGATGACAAAAATTGACAGAACACATAAAAATTATCTTTCACCTGAAATTTGAGAGGAAATGCATTTAAGAGAGATATTTTATGGCACTTTTTTTATTTTTGAACAAAGCAGTATGATTTGTATTGGCCGCCATGTTGGAGGGCATGGGCATGTTGCCTAGGAAATGTTGCCCTCCAACATGGCAGCCAAAACTACTTTTTGCTTGTATCTTGTTAACCGTTTGATAGTTACATTCAGATGTGCTGTAAACGTTACCACATCATCTTTTCAACAATTTCCTTAAAGTTTATGTGCCAAATTTCTGTTCAGAAAGAGGTAATTCATAGTTTTAAAAATTACATTTTGGTCACGTGACCAGCTATGAACTTACTCGTTTAAAGAAAATGGTGCCAGTTTGAAAAACTAAATCACTATTATTTTGTTTATGATATGACCACCTAATTGTTTTTTGAAGGCAAAATCACAGAACTTTCATTTTCATAAAAATGATGTCACATAACCTCTTAGTGCAAATGGCCTTAATTGCCGGTTGTAACTTAGAGGCTGGAGAGTGGTCATAATAAGGGGAGCTTTGACTGTATACAACTATTTCGAGACAGGTTGTCAGAAAAAGTGCACATGCCAATTTCGAAAGGTATTGTGGGTGGTTTTGAGTTCACTGTTCTTCAAAGAAATTTGAAAGAATTGCACAGGAGGCCATGAACGTATGTTTGCGAGTGTTAAAGGAAAGCAACAAAAGTAGGCTCAGTATCTACAGTGTCAAGAACAGTGTATTGATCATGTCCCATATTACCTTTCGGGATTGTCACGTACACATTTTTTTCTGACCTTTCTCGAAATAGCTGTATAGGAGCATTTCAAACCACACCTTCCATACTCAAGAGGGTTGTCAGTGATATAAAACCTTGGAGTACGTTAGACATTGCACCATTCCATTTTATATCCACACAACCCATATAGGAGGGGAGTATTGCTATAAAAGGAAAGGCTGTACAACCTAATATCTGGTTGAAATCAGTTTGTGTGTTCGGATCAAGTTACCTGTTCATCTCGCTCTTGGCGACTCAATCCACACTCTGCATGCTCAGACATATCGAACAGGGACATCAGCGGTGTGGCATACTCCAGAAGCACGTGATATTCATTAACCTCTCCATCTGGGCCTGGGATCTCTATTTTGTGTACAGTGTGCTTGTAGGATCTCTTCAATATCCCACCTCTGTCAATGTCATATGAAGGGAGATTTCCTGCGACTGTTATTCTTGGGTCGGCCTCCTCAATTGTAGCGTAGGTGTAGCAGTTTTTGGGAAGCAATATGAAGAGCTTTTTCTTTGTAATCTTGTACCTGTAGTGCTCCGATCTTACAATCTGGTCCTCAAGATTTGGTAGCACCAGCTTCAAGTAGCCAAAATAGTAGCTCCAGGCTAGACCATCGGCCACATTTTTGTTTTCTCTCTCGTTGATCTCTGATACTTCCACCCTAGAAAGCTCTCGCAAACCGACAAGAAACAACAGCTGAGGGGCTAAGAAGCAATTTAACGAGAAAAAGATCGCATATTCTGCACGACAGAAAGTGTTACAATCTAGGTACAAGGCAAAAGACACTATCAGAAACGACGCAACGCCCACGACCAGAATAGTGCGAGCATACTTGAAAGCGAAAGTGGAATTGAAAACCTTCATCCAACTTCCCTCATATCGAGTTTGCTTGTGTCGAATCTCTTCAATCCCCAGACAGGCTCTACGCACCACCTCGCCAACGGCTAAACTCAGAGTTAAAAGAGCGCTGATAAAGAGTAGAAAGAAGACTTCATCTCTGCCCTGGTGGTTTCCGGTAGAATGGGCGATCTTCAAATGGACAACTGCACAAAAAGCAACCACTAACAAAGCAGCGATAAGCGAGGCATTTCCACGACGCTTTGAAAATGGACCGAACCCATTATTTTCCTGTTGACGATCCATTTTTTTTAGGTAAACTGAAAATTTTAAGTTGGTTTACTGCGACTGGGACAAGGCGTCTGCTTCTCTGTTTGTCTTCGTAAATGACGAATAATAGATGAACCCCTGCGGCGTTTAAAGCTCACTTTTGTGACTATCCGGGGAATCCCCAAGTTTCTGACCAGTGACTGGATGCATGCTACGTCATCATTCATGATCTTCAAAATAAAAAGTGCTTGAATAAGCAGGTTTCACTTTTGAGTTACCGGCATAATTCCCCATTCGAATGTTTGGCAGACAAGCGAGTCAATAATTTAACAACAAGACGCCCGAAGGCGTTTACGCGGGATGTGTTGGTGTAAGAAAGAATTACCGGTATGTTGAATGGTAATGAGAAGTTGAGTAGTGTATGCAACAAATGTGTGCAGGGGAGACGGAGATGTTCTTTTAAGGACTAATACACCAGAAGATGCGTTACACACAAGGGTTTCTTTGCTACTCAAAACAAAACTTACATCAATATTACCACCATATATGTTAGGAGTATGGGGTAGTTCAATAAAATTTGCATTCCCTTTACTAATGTCCTCAAAAAATGTACTTCCACATTCAACAATAGCATGTAATGTATCATACTTCCAATAACTACTGGGCTGCAAGGCTGTGCTCTAGGGAAAATTTCGCAACAGCCTTCCAAGATTTCCCTCAATTTGCGATAAAACAGAACTACCTATTGAAACAAAAGGTCCAAAAGGATTTTGTAGAAAATTAACAATATCAAAATTTTTGTTACCATGAAAACCAAACAAATACCGTAAAATTCCGAAAATAAGCCCCTCCAAATATAAGCCCCCCAACCTCATAACGCAAAAACCCTCTGTTATATCACCCCTCCAAATATAAGCCCCTCCAAAAATAAGCCCCTCAAAAGGGGCCTTTGAAAAATATAAGCCCCGGGGCTTATTTTCGGAATTTTACGGTATTCCTTTTTAGCACCCCAACAATACATCTCAATTGCTCCCCTCCAATCTTTGCCTAAGCATTGTTTGAATTTTTTTAGGGACTCGAACACAATGCTCATTTAAAGGGTGGAGGAAGGAGGCAAACAGAATGTACCATGAAATGATGTAGAAGATGTGAATTAAAATAATTATTCAGAATCCCTTTAATAGGACAGTTATGGTAAACTTGATCTCCCCAAAATGAGTTTCAGTATTTTGATCAATGTTGGCTTCAAAATTTCCCGTTCATCTTTCCGACTTGGCAACTCAATTTACACCCTGCATGCTCGGCGGTCTCCCAGCAAATCACTTATGGAAATCATCCAAGAGCACTGAAACAGCACTCTCCATACACAAGGAGGTTGGTGGTGCTAAAAACTACAGCGTATGGCACTGAGCCTTTTCATTTATTTGCGTACCCTCCTACAGAATCGAAGATCAGGTTTTCAGGAGTCACACTGAGAGATTTCCGCAGGGATTCAATGAAAGGACAAGGAGAACGTTTTTCTGAAGATGAATGATTATTGTCCAAAATGTTAATTTCTGAGGGGATCTGGCCAAAAACACCTCATCAGTGGGAGCGGGGGTGTTGATATTAAATGGCCAGAATGGCCCAAATTTGGGGACAGTGGAGAGTGTTACATTTTGCAACAAAATGAAAGGCTGTACGAAATGATATTCGATTAACTAAAAATGTTAACCTGTTCGGATCAAGTTACCTGTTCATCTCGCTCTTGGCGACTCAATCCACACTCTCCATGCTGAAGACATATCGTACAGAGACATCAAGGGGGTGGCATACTCCAGAACCACGTAATATTTATCAACCTCTCCATCAGGGCGTGGCATCTCTACCTGGTGCACGGTGTGCTGGTAGGGTCGCTTTGATATCCCACCTCAGTGTGTCTCATACGGCTCGAGATTTCCAGCACTCTTAATTCTTACGTCTGCCTTCTTAATTTCATTGTAGGTGAAGCAATTTTTTGGAATCAATATGAAGAGCTTTTTCTGGGTAATATCGTACCTGAAATTCGATTGGCCGATATTGTCAACAAGTTTTGGAAGCACCATCTTCAAGTAGCCGAAATAGTAGCTCCAAGCTAGACCATCGGCCACATTTTTGTTTTCTCTCTCGTTGATCTGCGATACTTCCGCGCTAGAAGGTTCTCGCAAACCGACAAGAAACGAAAGTTGAGGGGCCAAGAAGCAGTTCAACGAGAGAAGTATCCAGTATTCTGATCGACAGAAGGTCTTGCAATCTTCCTACAAGGCGTAGTACAAGACAAAAGATGACACTGTCAGAAAGGCCACAACACCAACGACCAAAATAGAATGGCCGTATCGAAAAGTGAAAGTAGAATTGAGAAGTTTCTTCCAACTTCTTTCGTATCGAGTGTGCCTGTGTCGTCTTTCTTCGTTAACCAGACACACTCTTCGCACTAACTCGCTAAGGACTAAACTTAGGGTTAGAAGAGCGGCTCCAAAGAACAAAAAAAGGATTTCATCTTTGCTTTCCTTGATTGAAAAAAAGGCGATCGCATTTACGATGTGGACAGCACCACTGACAACGACCACAAGAAAAGCGCCGAAAACGGCACCGCTCCCACGAGGTTTCGAAAGTAGTCCAAATCCATTATTTGGCTGTTGGGAATCCATTCTGTGGGCAATGGGAAAACTGAAAATACTTGATTAAAATCTGACTTTTGACGAGTTGTCGAACGGTCCTTATGCGGTCTATGAATATTAAGGGGAATCTGATCCCCCTATTCTTCGCAAGTCTTGTATTTGCTTAAGGCTACGCCATCTACTTGAAAAAGCATGGAAACAGAAATCCGTTTCTTTTCTTTTTTTTTTGGATAAAAATAAATTGCATTGATTTTTTTTGCCACTGTTAGTGCCAGTATGTAAATTCCACAATCTTCAGCCTGCGATCTTCTCTCTTCTGAAAAAAGGAAATTCCTGATAATTTGCAAGTTATACTGAGCTGTGCCACAGATGATAACAAAAATTAGTCTGTCGTCTATCTGGTAAAATGGAGATTTCGTTAGGCAAACTAACGCTGCAGATGAATAACCAACAATAATTTAATTTGTCTGTTATGCTAGCTGAGAGGGGAGGGGGAGGGGGTACTAGGCCCAAGCTCGCTTAGCAGTCAGCTTGGGCACATCACAACGCTGCATTCAGAAGTCCAAAAAGCGCCTTATCCATGATCATTATAAGTAACCTCAAAAACTGAAAAGTTTACAGGAAACCTTTGAAGGTAAATGGAATAGTTGGTATACAGTAGTTTTTAAAAATGAGTTTGCAAACATAAGTCACTGTTTGAAGAGCAGACACAGGTAATCACACATACCTAGAAAATTGGGGATCGTGGAAAATTTTGATCTGATCTTGAAATTTGAGATGAATATTATGATCTCGAGGCCTCATTCTTGCCTGTTTTTTTCCTTAATTAACAGACTGTTGAACTTTTTACCACAAGTCTTAAGGACTTGTTTTATTCAATGAGTCTTCATATTAAAAGACAGTCAATAATTATACCTAACGTATTCAAAAGTTATGAGAGAACCCTCCCCTCCCTGGGTCTTGATGGAGCTGTCATTAAGGACCATGTCAGAGCTGTCATTAAGGACCATAACCTGTAACACCTGTTACAGCTCAGCTCACTTGATGTTATGGGTGATCAAAATGGAAAGCTAAAGGTGACACTTTAAAGTTTTGGGGAGATGTTACAGGTGAATCTTTATTTGCTATGGCCACTCTAATAATTAGTGACAGCCCTGGTAACACTGTTTTGTGTACCCTTCTAACTTGAAACAGTAAAGAGAATTTCATAAATTAGATCAGAATAATTTTGTATAGTTCCAGAAAATATGCATTAAATTTTAACTTCATAGGTACTTATTAAATTTGTGAGTCATTGAGAACACACCCACATTGCTTGAAATTTCAATCCCCTCTGTAGCATATGCACATTGATAACATTGCTGTTTATATAGTAATAATTCTTAAATTTTAACAATTATAATGTTATCTAAATTTATTTGCAAGGAATGACATGATCAAGCTTTTTGACTAAAGCCTTTAGGCTTGCTTAAGAAAATAGCACTAGTAGTAATGGTGTTGCAATGTTCTCGTTATCAGGCGGTAACTGGCAAAATTTACTGCCTGAAGCAACACTTTTCGTACTGCCTACAACTGGTTGAAGGTTTAGTAAAATTAAATATTATGTAGTTTTAAAAAATACACAAGTTTTGATCCAATCTGATCAAGGAAATGAATGAATAAATTATATGGAAAAGTACCGTAAAGATACACAGCTTTTATTTTTAAGAGACTGCATTTTGGAAAAAGAACGTTGAAGACAGGGTAAAATTATTGGGATAAAACGTTTAAAATTGTTGTCTAAAGATAACAATGGCTGATTTCCATAAAATTAATCTTAAAATGGGGGAATGACGTTTCAAAGAGCTTAACTCCTCTTAGGGTGGAGCCATGTCCCTCACTCCACTACCCCCTCCCCTCCGGCCCCCGAGGAAAGTGCTTGAATAGTCCCTTACCAGCTGAGCTAAAATTCATGTTAGCGAAAACACTGGTGTTGGGAAATGGTTAAATCTGAACCTTGCTGAGACAGAAAAAGCTGCCGTTTTTTTTTTTACATATAAACAAACTCAGATCATGGCTTAAGAGAATCAGTAAACCTCCAAATTTCAAAACCTTCAAAAACCATACCCTATCAGACAGTTGGCACATACCTTAATCTAGCCTATATACTGTGAAACTATTAAGTGGACACTAAGCCGGGTCTGAAACAAATGTCTGATATTTCCCTTTATAACAAACCCCTATTCAGCGGACACTAAAATAATTGTATTTGGCTGATTTCTATTGTTAAAAACTTCTATTAAGCAGACACCGAACTGAATTGACAATAGTAGTATTGAATTATGTCCTTGGAATACGTACTGAAGTCAGTTAATGTTTTTGCATTTACAAACAAATTAAAGTTGGTAATGAAAGGTAATGAACTTGAACTCTGGATAGCTTCTTTAACAACAACTTTATCACAATACAGAGTAACCGTTGAAATGTTGATCGTTAACAAACATTGCACAATTTTTACAAGCCTCTATTAAGCGGATGCTTGGGAAGGTTCTGAAGGTGTCTGCTTAATAGAGGTTTCACTGTTTTAGAGTACCCACCCCTCCTTCCACCCGGGGCAACAAGGGTACTGTGTTTGTCATCAGGTATCCATTCAAATATTCAGATGGCATCTTGTCAGCATCTTAATCTTCCATCTGAAAGTTTGGATCCTGGAGTATCCGTACCAACACATCTGCAATCCTATTTTGATCTCCATCATCCCTTGGAGCTCTTGCTCCTGAGATCGGCACTAATATATACTTCCCTTTACAGTCTTTACAACTGTCTAAGATGTCTCTTAATTTGCGGATAAACAGCACCACCTAAAACAACAGAATAACAACTGTTATAAATTATTAAGATAAACTATAACTTTAAGATGAAGGGTGCAATGGTAAGATTATAAAAATTATTGAGGGTGCATGGTCACCTATAAGACTTTTAGCAATTAAAGAGCTTGTCTTGTCATAATTACCAAAACATCCAAAGTTAACGATTAACCTTTAACCCTTACTATTATCCTAGATTTGATCAAGAAGTTAATGCATTTATTTAAGCTGACTGAGTATAGTTGCCTTCTGGAACTTAAAAACAGTGAAAAAGACGAGCTGGTGATAATAACAAAAGTGGTTGCACTGAGTTCCTAATAGTACTGGTTGCTTACAAGAGCTTTTCATCACAAAGCTTAAGTTACAGTTCAAACGGCATTTCACAATGCTGGATGTAAATTAAACCTGGGGATTGGTCTTAAGGAGAGCATAGTTGGTGGTACAGACCACGGAGTAGGGCATTGCATGTCCCATTTAATTATATCCACACCCCTTGTAGAAAAGGTTTTCTGATGGGGTCACCTGAGAGGTTTCTGATGTAATCAGTGCTGGGAGAGATGTTTCTATGAAGGGGATTATTGTCAAAAATGTCAATTTCTGAAGAGTGAAACCACAAAAAATAAATTTCTGGAGAGATTAGAGTAGTGTTACATTATTCATTTATGGTGAATACATCGGACAATTTTTTCTGATGAGGAGTTGTCCCTTTCAGAAAATAGGTTTTAGAGCAATACCATTGCCACATTTTCTCAGGAGTATGTAACAAAAACAATACTTTTTCTGAGGGATTCTAAGAATTAAAGCTAATTTTTACCTCTGGAAAAATTTTCTGCAGGGGTCTTGCCAAAAGCACCTCATAAACAATGGGAGGGGTTATGAATACTAACGGAATGGTCCATTGGTGGCAGGGGAGGGTGCTACGTTTTGCTATGAAAGGAAAGGCTATATGAAATAATATTTGGTTAACTTACAATGTTTGTATGTTTTTATCAAGTTACCTGTTCATCTCGATCTTGGCGACTCAGTCCACACTCTTCCTCCCGGGACATATCGTACAGGGACATCAGGGGGGTGGCATACTCCAGAACCACATAATAATCATCAATCTCTCCATCGGGGCGTGGCATTTTTATTCGGTGTACGGTGTGCTTATAGGATCGCTTCGATATGCCACCCCTGTTAATGTCATATGAATCAAGATTTCCTGCAACTTCTATTCTGGGGTCGGCCTCCACAATCGTGTCGTACGTGTAGCAATTTTTTGGAAGCAATATGAAGAGCTTTTTCTGTGTAATATTGTACTTGTATTCTGATTTTCCGATCTGCCCTTCAAGATGTGGTAGCACCAGCTTCAAGTAGCCAAAATAGTAGCTCCAGGCAAGGCCATCGGCCACATTTTTGTTTTCCTTCTCGTTGATCTGCGATACTTCTACGCTGGAAAGCTCTCGTAAACCGACAAGAAACAACAGCTGAGGGGCCAGGAAGCAATTCAATGAGAAAAAAATCGCATATTCTGTACGACAGAAAGTGTCACAATCTCGGTACAAGGCAGAAGACACTATCAGAAAAGACGCAACCCCAACGACCAGAATAGTGCGGCCATACTTGAAAGCGAAAGTGGAATTGAAAACTTTCATCCAACTTCCTTCATATCGAGTTTGCTTGTGTCGAATCTCTTCAATCCCCAGACAGACTCTACGCACCACCTCGCTAAAGGCTAAACTCAGAGTTAAAAGAGCGCTGATAAAGAGCAGAAAGACGAATTCGTCTCTGCCCTGTTGGTTTCCTGTAGAATGGGCGATCTTCAAATGGACAACTACACAAAAAGAAACTACGATCAAAGCAGCGAGAAGCGAGGCTTTTCCGCGAGGCTTTGAAAGTGGACCGAACCCATTATTTTCCTGCTGACGATCCATTTTTCTTAGGTAACCTGAAAATTTTAAGTTGGTTTACTGCCACTGGGACAAGATGTCTGCTTCTCTGTTTGTCTTCATAAAACTGATGAAAAATAGGTGGACTCTTGCAGCTGTTTACAGGTCACTTTTGTGAGAATTCGGGGAATCCCCGGGTTTCTGATCAGTGATTGGACGCATTCTACGTCATCATCCATGATCTTGAAAATAAAAAGTGCTTGAATAAGCAGCTTTCACTTTTGAGTTACCGGTAAAATTCCCCATCCATTCGAAAAAAAATATTTTGGCAGACAAGCGAGTTAATAATTTAATAAGCGAGCCGCCGTAACTGATACATCAAGCTAGAACATTCAGGGGCATTATTGCATCGGACTCACATCAGATAACAGCTTCACGCTCCTAAAGAAATTTAGCGCCTCACAAATATTTGGCGCCAAACCGGTGTTCGTGTGCATGTGTGCGCCATGTTTGAAAATGACAACGAAAGGTAAAGCTGTCAAGCCAGTTATTTACATTTCAAGCAGCGATGAAGATGAGGAAGACACACCGCCATCAAAAGCCAGACTGCCATACAAAGTCAAGAAAGAAAATGTAAGCAACGGGATCGTTCAAAAAACGGAGACTGTTATTTTGAGCTCTGACGACGAGCTCGAGAAGACGCCTCAGAAGATATCGCGTCCATCTTTTGTCAAAGAAGAGCCAGATTTCCAAGTGTCTACCTCGAAGGCTCAAAATGAAACCAGTCCTTGGAAAAGTTTGAAGTTCAACCAAAATAATATCAAGATACTTCAAGCGAAGGTGAGGTTACAGAAGTTGAATTTTGGAAATTCATCGAACGCAAGCATCGATAAAACTGAAAATCGTGATGTCATGCCTGTGCCCACGGCATCTTGTTCAAAGTCTCAGGTAAGCAGCTCTAAATTAAGGGAAATCCTCTTAGTATTACCTGAAGGCAAAAGGAACGGCTATACCTATTCAAAGATCAAGCGATTTCTAGAGGGGTTTAAATTTAAGTTTATTCACCAGGGATAGGAGGGACGGGCCGGGCCCGTCATGCAGTCAAAGTGCATGGTAATTTTAAAGTAAATGTACTGGATTTACCGTTTGCGTCATTTGACTTCATATGTAGCGGTATATCATTAAATATGTGCATGGATCAATGCTAAATAAACGTTGTGTTGCCTTACTTACAAATGTCGTCCTGGTATTTTGAGCCATTTACTGTTCCTCTTAATAGAAGGACAAGGGTGGAATCAATTTTTTGAACGGCTTCAGTGCCGGAGCAATTTTCTCTTTCAAAACTCACAGCAGAAAGGCTGAAAGATTCACACTTCTTGTACGATCTGATCGAAAATCCATCCAAAAGGCCTAGGACTAGCACGGGAGGAAATTAAAATCTCACAGTTTTTGAATGGTCAAAATGCAAGATTTACATATGCCAGCCAGAAAACTGTCCTGCTGATTTCTTCTGTTTGATTGGATATCGTTAACCAAATGGTTCAACAATAACTGGTGTTAAGCAGACTTGGTAAGTGATCATTGCTTAACGGCATCCAATCAAAAAGAGACGATCAGCAGAATGGTTTCTGGCTGGCACATGTAAATCTTGCGACGCATTTTGACCGTTAAAAAACTGTGAGATTTTAATTTCCCTAGGCCTTTTGCATGGATTTTTGATCAAAAGGTACCAGAAAGAAGTGTGAATCTTTCAGCCTTTCTGCAGCAAGTTTTGAAAGTGGAGCAATGCAATTTTCTGGGGTAAATTCACTCCGACGCTGGAGCCAATTAAAAAATTTTTTCCACCCATGTCCTTCTGTTAAGAGGAACAGTAAACAGCAAACTCAAAATCTTTCAAAATGGCTCAAAATGCCATTTCTGAGGCAAAGGGACAACAAGTTACCATAAGTAAGGCAGCACAATGTTTATTTAGCATTGATCCATACACATATTTAACGATATGCCCCTACAGATGCATCAAACGGTAAATCCAGTACATTTACTACAAAATTACAATACAATCAGTTACACAAACAGACTGTGTGGGTCCCTGTGGTGACACCACGGGAAGTCATAAAAATAAAAAGTCTCTACTTGATCTAGTCGTGTACAAGAATGGGCTCTTGAAGCCAAAGTTCAAACAAGATTCCTTGATGCTGGTCATAATGCAGGTATCAATGTTTAGACAGAGAGTAGGGGTATGGGCATAGGTGTGACATTTGAACACTTCTTTGTCCCCTCTCTGAGGATTTAACCCTGCAGAGATCTGGGTCCTAAACTCGTGTTCTAGGAAAAGTCAAAGTGATTACTCTTTTCTATAATGCAATACTGCTAAAGCTTTCCAACTGGTATTGAGTATATTAATATGGTTGTTCGAAGAATATTGCAATTCAATTTTGCTGAAACCAGGGCTGGATTTTCAGCATTTTTAAATCATTGAAGTGAATGATTAAAGAAGCAGTTTCACTGTTTCATTAAACGTTTACATTGATGACCTAAACACAGTTTATTCACAAGGAGTAAGCAAATGATAAATTGTCTAGGTTTCCAATGGCCAGATGGATTCAATTTTGAAATATTTTGANTACAATACAATCAGTTACACAAACAGACTGTGTGGGTCCCTGTGGTGACACCACGGGAAGTCATAAAAATAAAAAGTCTCTACTTGATCTAGTCGTGTACAAGAATGGGCTCTTGAAGCCAAAGTTCAAACAAGATTCCTTGATGCTGGTCATAATGCAGGTATCAATGTTTAGACAGAGAGTAGGGGTATGGGCATAGGTGTGGCATTTGAACACTTCTTTGTCCCCTCCCTGAGGATTTAACCCTGCAGAGATCTGGGTCCTAAACTCGTGTTCTAGGAAAAGTCAAAGTGATTACTCTTTTCTATAATGCAATACTGCTAAAGCTTTCCAACTGGTATTGAGTATATTAATGTGGTTGTTCGAAGAATATTGCAATTCAATTTTGCTGAAACCAGGGCTGGATTTTCAGCATTTTTAAATCATTGAAGTGAACTATTAAAGAAGCAGTTTCACTGTTTCATTAAACGTTTACATTGATGACCTAAACACAGTTTATTCACAAGGAGTAAGCAAATTATAAATTGTCTAGGTTTCCAATGGCCAGATGGATTCAATTTTGAAATATTTTGACATGTTATTGGGTGAACCTCATACTTCTTCAATCTACTGTACCTTTTATAATGTACAGTAGTTGGAAATGTACATTTCAAATTGCTCCATGTTTACTTTTAATACATGTCATTACACAGTTTTGTTATTCCCAGGTAGGGATATTCTATCAAATTTGAACTATTTGCCAGCCCCAAGGGTTGCGTGTTTGACCGAAAAATAAAAACAATTCAAATGCCACACCTATACCCATATCCCTTCATCTCCTGCCAAACACTGATACCTGCATAACTAGAACTGGTCTCTTGCAAAAGTGGTTGCAAGGAGAGTTTCCGCTGCATATTTCTTATTTATGTGTCTCAAGGCTGATTTCACTAGTGAAAGAGTTGGAGTTGTAAATAATCAGAGTTGTCTAAGAGTTCTTTATGATCTAGTGAAAAACAAGAATCAGAGCCATAAGCTTGATAGATTTGGAATTACTACCATTTTCTTCTGAGGCGGCTTATGACTCTTCAGGTTGCCCATAATCTAGTGAAGATTACACAATAGAGGTGAATATTACACACGCTGTGACTGGACATTGCCTATGATTTATTATAGGACAAACACGTGGATGACATCATGGGAACCTTGTTTTTTTGTTTTATTAAACATGGCGCATGGTTTTAAAATGTTTGTGAGATTATTTCAGATTAAGTGTAGGCCTTGAAAAACATCTAGCAATAGCTAATGTATTTACATAGAAGGGAAATGAAGTTAGAAGGGAAAGTTGTTGATGTCTTGAAAATTCCTAAACTGGAAGTTGCCATTGTATGTCATCGTTTCAAGAGACTCGCACTTTTGAAAAAATGTTTGCAATTATTCTGCTGAAAATGAAGGCATTAAAAAACTTTTTGGATAAACTGGATACAAGTAAGACAGAAGAAGCAGAAACGAAAAATAGTGTTTGTGACTTAAAAAACGTCTAAACTGACACAAACCCTGAAATAGTAAAGCAGTACAATGCATGTCAGGCAAGCTGTCGTTTTTTCTTTTCTGTTTATAACATTATTCTGTGTAAAACGAATAGATTCCATTTTGCCGTGGGTTTGTTCAGCAAAGGATTACAGACGACATCAAAATGTGGTAAAAACATCCCTGACACACTCACCTTTGGCTCATGTGTCACTTCTTTGTTTTTACCACAATGTGATGTCATCTGTGATCTATTACTGGGCAGAGCTTGTGAGCTTGTCAGAGTTGATCTCATGAGTGGACAGGTCTGCATGGGTGGTCATATCACTATTGCGTGGACAGGCATATTAACATGCACAAGATTGCATGCATTTTGATTAGAATCCTTGGGTGTTTTCTTAATTTTGTTTGGTCACTTGGATTCAAAAGGATAAGAAATAAAATAAATAATACTTGAAACTAGGGACTTAGCACCATTTTTGGTGAACCTAAAGGCATGTTCTAATATGTTCACATTTTATTATATATTATTTATTTATGCACCATTTAAAAAAGTATGGGATGTGGTTCCAGGTACTAATATTACTATTACTAAATGAGAACTCTAATTCATAAATAGGGTGAGATGGCAAAAGATGAGTCAAGTGAAGTGAGCTGCAGGCAAGTTCCAGGAATGGGAATCTTTGAGTCAATAGAGAGTAGATTTCCTTCAACAAAGCTTAAAAGATCAAAAAGCCCTTCTTCACCTTCGCTCAAACAAACTGTGATTACTCAAGAAAGTTTTTCACCTCCAAAAAAGCCTTCTCTGTACAGATGTATGAGGCAAGAGCAACCTTTACACTATTCCACGCCTCTTTGGTGTTCAGTTCAGATGCAAGGACCACAGATGGACAGTTCCAAAGATTTTACTGAAAACCAAATGAATTCTCTGCAAGCTCTGAAGGAAGAAAACTTTCATAAAACTTACTTGCACACAGTCACAAATTTTATGAGCCAGTCCCGAAAGCCACCTGTAGGAGTTTTGTTTCACATTTTACATAACATCCTGCTTTCAAAGCAAAATAACTGTGGTAATGAATGCTTTAGAATTCTCCGGCAAATCCAGGTCTTACACCCTGTAATGGCTATGAGGATGGTTAATTTGAAAATCTCTTGGGAACACATTTCCATGATGGTGGAACTCTCTAGATGCATTGATGACATGTCACAAGAAAGTAGTCAGGCACTAAGTGCATCTATGGCCTTGTCTTTTGTTGTAAACGTTATGGAAGAGGAGGTTAATGTCAAGAGATTTAGCCTTGTGAAGACCTCAGGTTATAGACTCCTATCAGTCAAGCATTTCAGCACTCATATTTTTGAATTGGTTCAGTGGATTGGAGATGCCACAAAACATCCACATAAATCCAAGAATTTGTTTTTGCTGCAGAGAATGCTATCATTGTCGTTGTCAGTGAATGAGCGACCAGAGGACTTTGCAGGTAGGATTGCTGATGAGTTGTTTCTTGTCTATAACTGGCAGCTTCAGTCAACTAAAGAGAAAAGTCTTCTTCTCCAGTCAATTCAATCACATTTGCTGAGGATGAAGTTGATTGAAGTTATTCTGAGTAACTGTTTTCCTCCTCAAGAGGAACAGGATATCAGGGAAGTTCCCAGAATGGGACTTGCACATATTATTTTTGTTGACTTTCAGCGCAGTCCAGATGCAAATAACTCTGATCACGTTGACTTGATTGATCACTGTGAAGTGTTCATCATGCTTCTGGCATATCTTCTTCAAAGCTTTCTTTTTTGTCGCAAAAGATCTCTTCAGAAAAACTCTTCTGATTCACTGCGAATCATGTCAATGGATGACACAGATTCTTTACTTGAAACTGATTCTGAAGTTACAAGACTGAGGGAACGTCTAGAAAACATCTGCAGTCCATCACAGTTGTCCTCAAGGAGCTACCAGTTATTGGATTTAATGTCATCACTCAAAAGTTTTGCACAAAAGCTTCCATAGTTGCTGAAGTAAATATGACTTGGCCAAGGTTCCTTAAAGGATGGTTAACCCAAACCAGAACCTAGGATAAAGTTAAATTTCCAAACAAATTTTCTTGTCAAGTAATATGTAAATTGAACATTTCCTAACCTTAAAATTTACTCAGAGACTCAGTGGTAAGGTTAACTTACAATGACAGTCCTTGAGAATCTGACAGAAGTAAACCCATTTATTTATGGGTTAAAATTTTAACACTCACTGGGTTTGGGCTAATCAGTCTTCAAGGAACAGGGTTCTGAATTTCCTCATAAGCCAGTCTTGATTGATCATAATTTTTTAGTTAATATTTTGTTGCTGATGTGATCCTTGTTGGTGCAAAAACAATATTGTTGAAATATGGTTTGTTTGCTGTTTGCATTTGTTGATCAAAACTTCTGCAATCCAGTTAATTAGCAGGATTGATGTTTTTTGTTCAAAGAATAAAGTGCAGAGGTTTTGACTAGCAAAAGTATGCAATACTTGGAACCATATTGTATGCTACCTACAGTTCTCATGCTTTATTATCTGGTATTTGGTATGCGGTATTTGCGATAATGATTGGAGATGTCTCTACAAGTATGCTTACGAAACTTAATCCATACATTTGTATAGCAAAGAATGTATTCCCCCATGGACTGAATTAACAGACTTGACTGCAGTTGCTTGTACTGCACTAGAAGCTCTTGTCAGCTGTTTGCACATGTTACAACTAACGTTTGTCTTTTCAGGGTCTAAAAAGTAGATAAATTGAATGAAAGTATGTGAACACATGAAATCACCAGTTAAGTCCATCTCATTGTAATATAATTGGAAGTTATGTTGTGTTAAAAAAGCATTTTCAAGCTCATCTCAAAATAGATCATGAAATTTTCTGTGCAGAGGTAGTACATGGATTTGCATGGGAAAAAAAATATTGGAGACCTTATTCATGAATACAAATAGAGAGGAGAAGTCATTACTTTACACTGCCATGGTAGCAGAATTTCTGGATGACGACAAACCAAAAATGTTTCTTAAAAAGTGAATTTGCACTATTTCAAACTTCATTGATCCTATTCAGTTCTGTTTACTCTGTCAAATGTTGGCGAAATGTTCTGGAGTTGAATCCGATATCAAAGTTTAGAAAACGAAAAAGAAAATTTTTGTGTTTAGTGTACCTACTACATAAAGCGGGCATGTGAAATTAGGAAGTTTCATGGCTAAGAAATGTAATGAATAGGAAACCTATTCTTTTTTGCAGTTTTCATTGCCCTCGCTGTCGTCGTTACTAAAGCTCCCTATCGTTGTGATCCAGAAATTTTGCTACCATGGCGACATGACGTCACACTTCTCCTCTCTATGCTAAAGGGTGGACTGCACTACTACAAAACTGAGAAATGCGTCATGCCGCAAAATAGCTAAGCAGGGCAATCTACCCTTCTACTGGTGTCTGCAATGTTCTTTCACAATAATATTTTATTATTAGAGATCTTTAAATTCGAGGACAAGATTTGTCTTAAACATGGTTCGTACAATCTTGAAAAGGTCTTGAATTTGGTTTAGGTCCTTGAAAACTACTTGATTTCTTTATTAGGTCTCGAAAAGTCCTTGAAATTCATAACCTTGTCTACGCCAGACACCGTTTTCTGTGAAATTAGATTATTTTGCTGAGGAAATTTGGCTCATCCTCAGTGTAAGAACCTGTAAAACTCACAGGTAACGTAAAAACATTTTTGTGCATGACTAATATTTTATTTCTGTTTCTTTATTTCAAATGCTAATAGGGTGATCAACGGGGTTTAAAGAATGCCAATTAAAATAAATCTTAGTCCTTGAAAACTGCAATTTGTCCTTCACAAATATCCTTGAAAAGTCCTTGAAATGTGTTTGTGTAAAGTTGTACGAGCCATGTTAAAGTTTTTTCGCGTATACTCCCAAAATAGACATCGTGGAAATCTTTATTGTACTTTTTTTCACCAGAAAAGGTGGCACTGCTGTCTTTATTGAAGGAGGGTTAAGCCGTCTTCCAATCGGGAAATGACAAAACTTCTAACGTTAAATTTTGATAACTTGTTTCAGCCATAACTTGTAGTAGAATGATGATGGCTACCACATTTTCCCACCCAAATGACCCTGGTTCACACGTGCAAAGTATGTTAAGAAAATCTCACTCTCAAGTCTTCCTTATCTTAGAATCTAAAGGTAAAAGAACATAAGACAATATGACAGGTTTAATTCACACATACAAAACAAAAACACCATTACTGGAATAAAATTTTCAAATTGTTACATTTAGCATCAATGTATTTGGCTGTAGGGTACTGATTATAGTAATATAGAATTAGCTAAATGAGATTTATTTATTATATAGAGATTTGCACATAAATGTATTTATTATCTGATGACCAAACTGTACATAATATAGTTATGTTAGTTCATAATCCAAGAGTGGACAGGCATATTAACATGCACAAGATTGCATGCATTTTGATTAGAATCCTTGGGTGTTTTCTTAATTTTGTTTGGTCACTTGGATTCAAAAGGATAAGAAATAAAATAAATAATACTTGAAACTAGGGACTTAGCACCATTTTTGGTGAACCTAAAGGCATGTTCTAATATGTTCACATTTTATTATATATTATTTATTTATGCACCATTTAAAAAAGTATGGGATGTGGTTCCAGGTACTAATATTACTATTACTAAATGAGAACTCTAATTCATAAATAGGGTGAGATGGCAAAAGATGAGTCAAGTGAAGTGAGCTGCAGGCAAGTTCCAGGAATGGGAATCTTTGAGTCAATAGAGAGTAGATTTCCTTCAACAAAGCTTAAAAGATCAAAAAGCCCTTCTTCACCTTCGCTTAAACAAACTGTGATCACTCAAGAAAGTTTTTCACCTCCAAAAAAGCCTTCTCTGTACAGATGTATGAGGCAAGAGCAACCTTTACACTATTCCACGCCTCTTTGGTGTTCAGTTCAGATGCAAGGACCACAGATGGACAGTTCCAAAGATTTTACTGAAAACCAAATGAATTCTCTACAAGCTCTGAAGGAAGAAAACTTTCATAAAACTTACTTGCACACAGTCACAAATTTTATGAGCCAGTCCCGAAAGCCACCTGTAGGAGTTTTGTTTCACATTTTACATAACATCCTGCTTTCAAAGCAAAATAACTGTGGTAATGAATGCTTTAGAATTCTCCGGCAAATCCAGGTCTTACACCCTGTAATGGCTATGAGGATGGTTAATTTGAAAATCTCTTGGGAACACATTTCCATGATGGTGGAACTCTCTAGATGCACTGATGACATGTCACAAGAAAGTAGTCAGGCACTAAGTGCATCTATGGCCTTGTCTTTTGTTGTAAACGTTATGGAAGAGGAGGTTAATGTCAAGAGATTTAGCCTTGTGAAGACCTCAGGTTATAGACTCCTATCAGTCAAGCATTTCAGCACTCATATTTTTGAATTGGTTCAGTGGATTGGAGATGCCACAAAACATCCACATAAATCCAAGAATTTGTTTTTGCTGCAGAGAATGCTATCATTGTCGTTGTCAGTGAATGAGCGACCAGAGGACTTTGCAGGTAGGATTGCTGATGAGTTGTTTCTTGTCTATAACTGGCAGCTTCAGTCAACTAAAGAGAAAAGTCTTCTTCTCCAGTCAATTCAATCACATTTGCTGAGGATGAAGTTGATTGAAGTTATTCTGAGTAACTGTTTTCCTCCTCAAGAGGAACAGGATATCAGGGAAGTTCCCAGAATGGGACTTGCACATATTATTTTTGTTGACTTTCAGCGCAGTCCAGATGCAAATAACTCTGATCACGTTGACTTGATTGATCACTGTGAAGTGTTCATCATGCTTCTGGCATATCTTCTTCAAAGCTTTCTTTTTTGTCGCAAAAGATCTCTTCAGAAAAACTCTTCTGATTCACTGCGAATCATGTCAATGGATGACACAGATTCTTTACTTGAAACTGATTCTGAAGTTACAAGACTGAGGGAACGTCTAGAAAACATCTGCAGTCCATCACAGTTGTCCTCAAGGAGCTACCAGTTATTGGATTTAATGTCATCACTCAAAAGTTTTGCACAAAAGCTTCCATAGTTGCTGAAGTAAATATGACTTGGCCAAGGTTCCTTAAAGGATGGTTAACCCAAACCAGAACCTAGGATAAAGTTAAATTTCCAAACAAATTTTCTTGTCAAGTAATATGTAAATTGAACATTTCCTAACCTTAAAATTTACTCAGAGACTCAGTGGTAAGGTTAACTTACAATGACAGTCCTTGAGAATCTGACAGAAGTAAACCCATTTATTTATGGGTTAAAATTTTAACACTCACTGGGTTTGGGCTAATCAGTCTTCAAGGAACAGGGTCCTGAATTTTCTTGTAAGTCAGTCTTGATTGATCATAATTTTTTAGTTATTATTTGTGTTGCTGATGTGATCCTTGGTGGTGCAAAAACAATATTGTTGAAATATGGTTTGTTTGCTGTTTGCATTTGTTGATCAAAACTTCTGCAATCCAGTTAATTAGCAGGATTGATGTTTTTTGTTCAAAGAATAAAGTGCAGAGGTTTTGACTAGCAAAAGTATGCAATACTTGGAACCATATTGTATGCTACCTACAGTTCTCATGCTTTATTATCTGGTATTTGGTATGCGGTATTTGCGATAATGATTGGAGATGTCTCTACAAGTATGCTTACGAAACTTAATCCATACATTTGTATAGCAAAGAATGTATTCCCCCATGGATTGAATTAACAGACTTGACTGCAGTTGCTTGTACTGCACTAGAAGCTCTTGTCAGCTGTTTGCACATGTTACAACTAACATTTGTCTTTTCAGGGTCTAAAAAGTAGATAAATTAAATGAAAGTATGTGAACACATGAAATCACCAATTAAGTCCATCTTATTGTAACATTGGAAGTTATGTTATGTTAAAAAAGCATTTTCAAGCTCATCTCAAAATAGATCATGAAATTTTCTGAGAAGAGGTAGTACATGGATTTGCATGGGAAAAAAATATTGGAGACCTTATTCATGAATACAAATAGAGAGGAGAAGTCATTATGTTACATTGCCATGGTAGCAGAATTTCTGAATGACGACAAACCAAAAATGTTTCTTAAAAAGTGAATTTGCACTATTTCAAACTTCATCGATCCTATTCAGTTCTGTTTAATCTGTCAATTGTTGGCGAAATGTTCTGGAGTTGAATCTGATATCAAAGTTTAGAAAACGAAAAAGAAAATTTTTGTGTTTTGTGTACCTACTCCATAAAGCTGGCATGTGAAATTAGGAAGTTTCATGGCTAAGAAATGTAATGAATAGGAAACCTATTCTTTTTTGCAGTTTTCATTGCCCTTGCCGTCGTTGTTACTAAAGCTCCCTATCGTTGTGATCCAGAAATTTTGCTACCATGGCGACATGACGTCACACTTCTCCTCTCTATGCTTAAGGGTGGACTGTACTACTACAAAACTGAGAGATGTGTCATGCCGCAAAATAGCTAAGCAGGACAATCTACTCTTCTACTGGTGTCTGCAATGTTCTTTTATAATAATATTTTATTATTAGAGACCTTTAAATTCGAGGACAAAATTTGTCTTAAACGTGGTTCGTACAATCTTGAAAAGGTCTTGAATTTGGTTTAGGTCCTTGAAAACTACTTGATTTCTCTATTAGGTCTCGAAAAGTCCTTGAAATTCATAACCTTGTCTATGCTAGACACCGTTTTCTGTAAAATTAGATTATTTTGCCGAGGAAATTTGGCTCATCCTCAGTGTAAGAACCTGTAAAACTCACGGGTAACGTAAAAACATTTTTGTGCATGAACAATATTTTATTTCTGTTTCTTTATTTCAAATGCTTTTTCTGTACCTCAGATGCAATGCAAGTCATACCCATTCATTTTTAAAGTCTTGTTGCGAAAAGTAGTATAAAATAATGTAATCAATGATGGCCGAAGAAGTAAAAATTGTAAATGACTCCATGATGAGTTTAAGCCAATGGGGTGATCAATGGGGGTTAAAGAATGCCGATTTATTAAATAAATCTTAGTCCTTAAAAACAGTAATTTGTCTTTGAAAATCCTTGAAAAGTACTTGAAATGTGTTTGTCTAAAGTTGCACCAACCATGTTAAAGTTTTTTTACGTATACTTGCAAAATAGACACCTTGGAAATCTCTATTGTACTTTTTTTCACCAGACAAGTTGGCACTGCTGTCTTCTTTATTGAAGGAGGTTAACCCATCTCCCAATCAGTAAATGACAAAACTTCAAACATTAAATTTTGATAACTTGTTTCCGCCACAAACTTGTAGTAGAATGATGATGGCTACCCCATTTTCCAGTTTAAATGACCCTGGTTCACATGCGCAAAGTATGTTAAGAAAATCTCACTCTCAAGTCTTCCTTGTCTTAGAATCTAAAGGTCTCTATTATAAAAGAAAATAAGACAATATGACAGGTTTAATTCATACATACAAAAGAAAAACACCATTACTGTAATAAAATTTTTCAAATTGTTACATTTAGCATCAATGTATTTGGCTTTAGGGGTACTGATTATAGTAATATAGAATTAGCTAAATGAGATTTATTTATTATATAGAGATTTGCACATAAATGTATTTATTATCTGATGACCAAACTGTACATAATATAGTTATGTTAGTTCATAATCCAAGAGACTTAGTTATGTTATGGTTATCTAATTGTCATGGCATCAATGGTTAAATTTAGGTAGAATGCAAGAGACAGAATTTTTGCAAATTGTTGTGTTACTGAACTGTGGAGTACAAACAATGCTCCCTTACACATTAAACAATGTTTCTTTTCAAATTTCGTGGAAGTCTTGATTTATCCTTTTTTATGTGCATGTTAAAGGCCATGGCTTTTTAAAAAAGCAGAGTTTACCTACACAGTTGACTCTCAGTCCGCCATTAGATCAGCTTTAAAATTGTTAAGACACTTCACTGGAATAAAGTTTGCTCTGTTTTTTGGAAGTACGTGGTGTCAGAAAAAAGGAAGAATACTATCAATGAGGATGACGTGTGTCAATGTTTTTGCCACAGGTAGGTAGAGCCTTGGAGGTTGGGAAGGCTTTCTCCCCTCCTTCCGCCACTTTTCCTGAACTAAAAAAAATACAGACTCACTAAGAAGAGAGTCTTCTCAGTCTCTCACTCTTACAATTCATCATACTCAACTATGTTCCACATTTCTGTTGACAAAAGCTCAGAGGTACATTGGCTGCGACCACCATCGTGAGAGCCATAGAAACTAAAGGAAGGAGGGGTGGGGAGAAAAGAGAAAAACTGGCTGCATGCAAGCATATTTTTTTCTCACCTCCTGCCTCCCCCTTCTATATTTTAACACAAGAACCTCTCTGCCTGAACTCTCTGTCATTTCCAGTTTCCAAATTGGTGAGGGAAAATTATACTATCATTGTTCGCACTACACAATACGCCTGCTATGCAAGCTACATTTTGATGTACCATTAAGGGTAATAAAGACAAACATTTTATTGTTACTTTTGTTTATTTAAATAAATCTTTGAGCTTTACAAATAAAACTTGATCTACAAATACTCTACGGTTTCCATTTAAACCCCTACTACAAAAGAACCCATTTTAGCCAAAAATTTGACAATAACAAAATTTAAAGGGTTTATATTTACCTCTAGTATATACAACACTCAGTGATCTTGGTGATTCAAGCAATCTGATTAGTTCATTATCTCGGACTATGACATTATATTCACCTCCTTAGGTGGTGAATATGAAGCAAAAGAAAATCGCTATCATGAACTGGGTGTTTTGCCAAGTTTCAGAGTAAGAACTTTTATAAAATATAAGAATATCCCAGAGTTGATGATTTTGAAGGTAAGAAAAGACTTCATAGTGTTTAAACGGCGTGATTTTATTGTGAAGTGATTTACTGTAGCTGACTTTTATACGCTCAAAGCAATGTTTTTATTGACCACTACAGAGGGAATGGAGGACACTTAGTCACTGTTTTGTGAACTCGGGATTTCCTTGCAAGACCAATTTTGCCTGGAAATAGAATTTAATTTATGGAGGAAAAAAGGAAAGCAAATATTTTTGAAAACTGTACATGCCAGCAAGTTAACATGGCAAGGAGCACTGCACTGCAGATAAAGAACGCTCACCTCGATTGTAGCCGCTGCTGACAGCATTTGGAAGAAGCAACAAAAAAACTGTCTCATTCACAGTGAGTTGGAGAAGCAAAAAAAGGTCTGTGTTTCTTCTCAGAAACTTTCAACATTTTCTTTTCAATCATTGATGCTAAAGCTTACAAAANTTAAAGGGTTTATATTTACCTCTAGTATATACAACACTCAGTGATCTTGGTGATTCAAGCAATCTGATTAGTTCATTATCTCGGACTATGACATTATATTCACCTCCTTAGGTGGTGAATATGAAGCAAAAGAAAATCGCTATCATGAACTGGGTGTTTTGCCAAGTTTCAGAGTAAGAACTTTTATAAAATATAAGAATATCCCAGAGTTGATGATTTTGAAGGTAAGAAAAGACTTCATAGTGTTTAAACGGCGTGATTTTATTGTGAAGTGATTTACTGTAGCTGACTTTTATACGCTCAAAGCAATGTTTTTATTGACCACTACAGAGGGAATGGAGGACACTTAGTCACTGTTTTGTGAACTCGGGATTTCCTTGCAAGACCAATTTTGCCTGGAAATAGAATTTAATTTATGGAGGAAAAAAGGAAAGCAAATATTTTTGAAAACTGTACATGCCAGCAAGTTAACATGGCAAGGAGCACTGCACTGCAGATAAAGAACGCTCACCTCGATTGTAGCCGCTGCTGACAGCATTTGGAAGAAGCAACAAAAAAACTGTCTCATTCACAGTGAGTTGGAGAAGCAAAAAAAGGTCTGTGTTTCTTCTCAGAAACTTTCAACATTTTCTTTTCAATCATTGATGCTAAAGCTTACAAAAAAATTAAAACTAGGATTTACCAAGTTTGAAAATACTGTAAAGATTCAACTGTTGTCCTTGTGCTGTTTACGGCTACAAGTTCATGCATGAATTCACCCATGGCTCAAACTAATCGTCTTTTTCATGGTTTCCTTTCTGATTCTGTTGAGATCACTTCGTGTGTATATACTAAAACAATAAAATTTTATATTATTTATTCACCTCAGGCTCAGTTAATATTGTTGAATAATTCCCTCGACATTATTCAACAATATTACTGTGAAACTCAAAAAACCGTGGACACCAGAAATATTTATGAAATTTTATTGTGTTGTGAGGAAATAGCAAATAAGGCATGAGAAACCTAAACCACAAACAGCAACGGTAATTAGTTTGTGGTTTTGAGGTTTCCTTTCATGTCCTGAACATTATTGTGACTGGTCACCACACAATCAACATTCCTGAAATTTTTCATGTGTTCACGGTTTTCTGAGTTTTACAGTAACTTCGCCTTCGAAGAATAATTGTTAAATATTTTGAGTCTGCATATAAAATGTGTGTGTCAGAGCCAGAGAAACTACTTTTTCTTGCTTAAATAGGAATCCACCGCTTTCCATAAAGCAGTTATGTTGCCAGCTCCAAACCCAGTTGCACCACATCGCTGTATAACCTCCAGAAAGAAGGTGTCCTTATTAAACAATGGTCGTGTAAACACTTGCATCAGATACCTACAGGAAATTGATGAAAGATGTCAATCATCATGGATAAAGTGTATAAAGGGTTTAGTTTATCTATTGTCTCACAATTGTCACCTTGATATGGATCGTGATGTTTTGACTGCACACTGCAGGTCTCCATCAGGCGATAGTGTTGTACCACCGTGGTTGTTAGTGATTGGTGTATCACGTACCTTGCTCAAGTCCAACACAACATTAAGATCACACTTAGTACAACCTAAGGATCCTGTTGATCCACAAAAACAAGATGGAGTAGAGTATAAGATTCCTTGTGCATGTGGCGAAGTATACATTGGCGAAACTGGAAGGTGCATGCATGAATGGATTAAGGAGCATGATAGGGATACACAGCTTTCACAAACTCAAACTTCGACTGTTTCTGAACACGCTAATAAGACCGGGCATTATCCCCTCTGGCACAAAGTTAAGTTGACCGAGACTGTCACTGGTCCTCTCGAAGACTTCATCCTAACACCGTCAACAGGGGCAGTGGAACTGAGATTCCTGAAGTGTGGATACCAACAATCACACAACATAACAGCCAATCACTGTCACAGCAGACCTCTGAGGAATCAGTTTCTTCCTCTGACAATACCAACAATGCTTTGGATCGAAAACCCACCAACAATGAGCGAGGAATGTGATACGCCAATCACTAACAACCACAGTGGTACAAATAATCCGACTCAGTAAATCGACACTAGGAGACTGGGGAGCCCAGGCTTCATAAAGCCTTCTGGTTTCTTCTGGGCTCCCTTGCAACCTTACAATTCCTATATGTATTCTTCTATTGTATTATATTTTGGCTAAATAAAAATGAACTGAACTGAACTGAACGGAACGCCTTGCTAAAGTTTGAAATCTCGGCAACGCGAAACTGCAAACGCGTAACTGCGGTTTGTGGTTTGCGGTTTGCGGTTTACCTGATGCTAAAGGTCTCTACTATCGCCTGATGAAGACCTGTAGTGTGCAGTTGAAACGCCCTGATCAATATCAAAGTGACAATTGTGAGACAAATGATAAAATAAACCTTTTATATACATTTGTAATTTTATAGAAAAACTTTCATGAAATATAGGTCATAAAACATGGTTGCTGCAAGTCCTCAGTTTTCTCAAATTTTTTTTTTTTTTTCCTCAAATTCTCTAATCTTCCCTGATAAAAATACAATTTGCCCAACCAAAGAATATAATGTTTACCTAACTTGACAGTGACATTTTGCTTTCTCCATTACTGAAAGATGTCCTTAATAGCTTTATTTATATAGCGCTCATATCCTGAGCTTATGGCGCTTGAGACCACAGGACCTGAAAAGCTTCTTCCAGCCTCTTCAAAATTTCAATTTTCCCTGGCTCATAAGTAAATTTTTCTCTGGCCATTTCCTAACCTGGAAATGACCTTTTTTCCCAAAGCTTCTTCCAGATGGACCAAACCAATCCACTCAGTTCTGGACCAAACTTTCCCAAGGTCTTTAGCCAAATGGATCATGCCTGTAACAGAATGAGCATGCTAAATTAACCCAATTCACTCACTTTGTGTCCTGAGCAGCAGAAGACTCTGTATTTTCTTTTACGATGAAGCTCTCAGCATCTAACAAGACACCATGATTTTGAAGAGACTCCACACACTCACCCACATATTTTATCTCCTGCAATTTGCCTTCCTACAAAACAGGTTTATCTTTAATTAATTTTTCATAGAAACATAAAGTTTTTTGAGAATCTTGTTCATGTAAATAAAAATGTCATTACTAACAATGACCATGACAAGTCATTTCGATGCATGTAACATTTTGCTATTTAGGTCTTTGTGTCTATGAATGTGATCTCAAGGTGACCATACAATACTTTTGCCAACGATTCTTGTCAGCTTAGTGCTCTACTTTGTAAACAACATTTTGGGCAAATTTGGTTCTTTCTCATCCAAATGATGATTAGCCTCAAACATTGTTTTTGGCAAAATTTTGAGTTGTAAATGGGGCAAGTTCGACAATAAATAATGTGCAACAAACCTCAGAGTAATAAGCAGAAGGAGGATCAATAAATGTAACTCCATTATCCTTTAATGCTGCTACCGCTTGAGTGATATCTGGAGTATGAAGACCTATGTGCTGTATACCTGGTCCCCCATGTTCGGTCAAAAATGTCTGCACTTGGTTTGGACCTAAAAAACCAATGATAAAACAGTGAGTAGGTGTAACATCAGCGTGCAAAGAAAGTCGTGTCCGATAGCCTGGGGCTAGTGGATTTTGCTGCCGGGCTAGTGAGTTTTGTTCTTAACTTGCCCGATGGGCAAGTGCTGTTTTGGGCGGAAATTCAATTACAGAAGGTTTGTAATCAATCCTGCTAATCAAAAGGAGTTTGGGGGCTAGTTGAAATGACTGGTGGGCTAGTACATGCTAGCTACGTACAGCTTGCCCGAATGGCAGGCTGTAAAACTGAATTTCTTTGCACCCTGGACATGTAGCTGTTTGGAAAGGTGGATAGTGCTTCACACAGGCTAACTCTCTATCCGGTGGATGATGTACTTAAGTATCAACTATTTGTGAGCTCCCAGGCATCCAACTTTCAAACAAGTGGGGCTATGGCAGGTCTTTGATACCTGCCCTTTCTAAGAAAATGCAGTCAAGGAAGAGAATAATTCCACAAGAATTGTGATTGGTCACTACACAATCAATGTTCTCGAAATTTATCAGGTTTATATAGTTTTTTGAGTTTGACGGTAAAAGATCACAGTCTCTATATCTATAGTATCGATTATGTTACAGGTCAAAATTAAATTCAGGTTAAATCTTTTTATCCCCAGGTTGATTCTCAATATTCTTTGTCTCCTCCCTAATTCAACTTAGGTTAAAAATTTTAACCTTAATTTAATTTTAATGTAATAAGACACTTACACCAATGATGCAGCCATAAGCGTAAGTAACAAATACACAGACACAGTATGCTAATCATGAGCACCTATTCTCTTCAAAAAATAGCTCTCTAAAGAGAAGAGAACATATGTTTACAGTTTTTGTTACGTCTGTCGTGGACATGTGATTTTATCGGCTTGCTATGTCACATAAGCATGAAATAAAGTGTGATTTCTTGCAAGGAAGAAAAAAATTTCCAAAGCATAAGAACACAATAATTTATCTGATGCATTAAGTTATGCTTCACCATGTCATACAGCATGCTGATGACTAGCATTGAAGAGAAAATAAAGTGTGACTTCTTGCATCGAGAAAACATTTTTTTTTAGCAACAGGTCTCGCTTATTTTTCTGACACAACAGCTCGCACTTCACTTTCATATTATGCAGCACACCGATGACCACTGTTATCCTTCTTTTGCAAAATGTCTTTTGACTAGAAAAAAATAATTGACAAAACGAACAAGCAACAACTAGAACATAACAGACTCTACTTGTTTGCGAACTGAATCAAACAGTATTTTGTATCTAGCCTTCAGAATTATTGCTTTTCTTATGAACATTATGGACATACAACATGACTACATAGTGTTACAGTTTCTAAGGAAACTGTAAACTCAAAAACTCAAGACCTGTCCCCCTTGGTCCATATCCATGCCCTCCCACCTCATGTACCACTAACCTTGCCCAGGGAGTGGTTCGGCGAAAACAAATTTTACGCCTCCTCCTGGCTCGTCAGTGTCTATTCTAAGCTCGGACTCTGAACAAAACCAGTATTGCATCGCAGTTAACTTCATTCCAATGCTTGCACCTTGTATTGCACTCTGCACCACAAACCCATCCTGGGTTTCATCAGAGTTAATACTGAACCTGGTGAATCCAAAACATTTTTCATACCACTTCATAACCGTCTGAGAAGTCCCAAGAGGACACGCAAAAGTTATGTGATCAAAATGCGTTAAAATGCGATCTTTTATAATTGTTTGGGAATTTGACGAGTCTGTTGCATAACAAAGCGTTTTCGGTAACGCCATCTTGTTGTCGAAAACATCGAACCCCGGCAAAAATACTCCATTGTAACCAGACGCATTTAACAGTGTATGGACAACATTGCCGACAGGAGTTTGTACAACAGCGGACTCCACTTTTCCATTGCTATCGGAGAGAATTTCGGGTTCTCTGATTACTTTACCGTCATTTCTTTTTACAACATCTACCACTTGTTTTACATCTTTGACTTCAAGGGCAACGTTGAACACTGTGTCTCTTTCCCGCGCTCCTTCACTCAGCACGAAATTTATTGCATCACGGTTTAACGTAAATCGATTAGGGGAAGATGAACGAGCTAACACATTAAATCCAAATTTCTCACAGAATTGTTTCAGGCTTTGCTCTAAATTCTGACAAAGTACTTCAACATGATGTAACCGAACCACCATCTTTTTCGCTACACATGGCCGAAGACTAGATTCCAGGGCCTGCTCGGGTAACTTCACGAACTTTGGCCTTCATTCCTGTTCTTCTACCCTTGAAAGAAAAAAATGACAATCAACTCTCGATCAGAACCAGCACTTACACTTCTATTCACTAAAAACTTCACCAAATAACAAACTAGCTAGTCGAGGCGGGCAAAAAAATACATTCACTGCATGGGGGTCTTCATTCGTCACTTTCACCCTACCCTGGGTGCCAGAGACTTTTCTAGCGCGGTTTCCGGTTTCTGTCAAGTCTTTATATAGTGACCCGCGCGCAAGGGGCGAAAAGCTCGCGAAAAAAGTTTTTCTCGCGGCTTCGCCGCACGTAAGAAAAACCTTTGGTACCCAGGGTACTTTCACCCTGTTTGTCCCCCTAAATTATGCGTAAACATTGTTTTCAGTTCCTTCTTTACTTTTCTTCGCGCCATTTTTTTCCGCCCGTTTAGTCCCCGGGGTGGGGGGGGTGGGAACTTCCCTGCCCCTCCGTGGGCGCAGGCGGGTCCCCTAAGGGGTACGCCTTTTGCACCCTCGTGTTTGTCACCGGGTATCATTTCTGAAGGCAAGTCGACTACTGGGGAATTAATACTAGCACGCAAAACATCCGCACTTTTGTTAGCGAATAATTTAAACCTCTAAANTCCCTTGCCCCCACTATCTGCTCCTGAGTCTCCGAGGATGAGTTCCCCTGAGACGATTATCAGGGGCACCCAACGTCATTTTTCGGAAAATATCTGTTCGGAAGACGATTTGAGTCAGAACGTTTGTTGTAAAATTTCTTGCTTGCCTCTAAAAAAATGGTATAATTGTCCATTTTTAACGGATTTTTACCCTAAAAAGGTCACTTAGAATTTTCTGGAGCCTTTTACCTGGCTGAAATTTTCGAAAAGTTAAGTTTTGATCCCTATACTTTTCAGGTCACTAGACTTTCAGCTAGGAAATCCGAACAGATGAAAAATTTTTAGGGGATAAAAATATGCCTATATCTACCGTTTAAATACTAAAATACGTTCGACAATGCTTTGTTGGTTTTGAACTATGTCGCGTTCCCAGTGTCGTAGACGCGTGGCGTTAGGCACTGGAGTTCGCCAGGTCAACCACAGTGAAGCACTAGGCGGTCAGCAAGATTCAATGCCGTTTATTAAAATCAGGCTAGTCCGACTATTTACAGCACTTGCGGTGAAAACTAGAAAGAAACGCACGATTTTTACGTCAGAAGAAACGAAAACTGCGATAATGCTCCGTGCACGAAAAAAGGAGGAAATGCAAACTACTAAATTTGCAAGCGTGACTTACGTCTGATCTTGACACCGGGGGTTAAAAGAACTCCAAATCTCCTACAGTTGTAATAACTCCGAAAGTTCACCAAAAGCTCCTTACTTTGTGATGGACTTCTTACAACTGAATAAACGTGCTTAGGAAAATAATAATCTAATGCATGCCTTCTGACGTAAAGGAAATAAAACTGAATAAAGCTTTGTACGCGTAGCCAAAAAACAGATATACGATGATCATGCATCATATGGCCGGTAACCGGTCAAAGTTTTCAAAACACTAAATGACCGGCAGTCCTATATTCTCAGTAAATTTCACAAAATCGAACAATCGATTAAGAAAAGTCAAGCGATCCTGAAATACTTTATAGATCTTATATAGAAATCCCTGCGGTGGCATATATAAAAAATAGAAAAGAATTAAAACAGAGACGCTACGAGTGTTAAAATCTATTTTAAAATTTACAATCATTTTGAAAACAGGGAAGGTTCATGATAAAAAATATAAACTATCCGCGCTACTCGCAAATAAACTAAGACGAAGCTTTTCTACCCCCACCGGGCTCCCCTCCGCCCTCTCGCACACCTCCACACAAAAGTGCTAATGCATGATGGGACATTAACACAAACGAGTCGTGTTGTGAAACGTTGTGAAACCAGGTGCGAAGAAAGTACACGTGTAACATCTGTCTAAGGTAAGAATATTAAACACCGATTTAATCATATCTTTTCTATCTGGCTTATTTTTATGTTTTCCATCTAATTTTTATCACGCAATCATGGCGGGAGTTGTTTGTAGACCTTACAAACTGAACAGTCCTATAAAAATGGCGCGTTTTATCGATCCAGCCTTATCACCATCCGATTTTAGCCCCGCGAGATTTTAACATGCAACATCAGCTTTGGCAAGTTTCCTTTAATTTGCTTGACTTAAAGAAGTTTTTGCTTACTTTGAGGGATCATGTTAAGAAGTGCTTTCAGTAGAAAGAAATCGTTGTCATAAAACTTGTATGGTCCTATTGAAAGCAAATGCGGTACCCGTTCGTTGAAATTCCATCACTTCAGAAACGCAATATGTCCACCCACTTGCAATTGCAAGATTGCAGTAAACTTTTCTGGCTTGTTGGTACAATACGTACATCTTTACACTGTTTTAATGCTTTTTGTTATAGAGTTATATTAGTTCCATTTTAAGGAAGCAATTATAATAGCATTATCACTGTGGTCTATTGACCAGGCCCCGGTTGTTCAAACGCTGGATAGCGCTATCCACCAGATAAAAATCTATCCAGTAAATGACGCAATAATTTTTTATTGGTTTCCCTAATACTTATCCTCTGGAAAGTGATTTATCCAGTGGATAGCGCTATCCAACGTTTGAACAACCAGGGCCAGGTATTTTTTTCTCAGAGGGACAAAAAGTTAGTGTTTGAATTCACAATATATTTAGACAAGTCATAAAAACATGAATGCTTTATTTGCCATCCTATAGAAAAATGGAATCTCCTAGACTAATAGATGGAAGAATTAATTTGGATGCTCCACGTTATGACCAGTCAACGTTTCTTGGACGTGCCAAGCACTTTTTTACTATAACAGACCCAAGAAACATTCTGCGCACAGCCAAGGAACTTGACGAAGCAAAAGATATTCTTATCAAATACAGGTATAATGAAAATTAGACAGGTATTAGAACTATACTGCAATATTTTTAATGTGACTTTTATGTGGGATTTCATTTTGGTCCATATTTAGTAAAAATATATGTAGAGTCAATATTTATACAAAGTCAAGATGAGTGTAATACAGCTCTCACTTTTTCAACTTGAGCAAAATCCCTTTTCTTTAACATGTGGTTGTAAGAGGAAGCCCCGCAGCACTTAATTCTTTCACAAGATGCTATTGTTTAGAAACATTTGTCAATTTTGATTTGGAACACTATGGGAATGTCAGTGGTATTAAAGTATAATAAAAGGTTTGTGGGTTTCATAGGGTTTGTCGATGTATTGGCCCATATCTTGGTCAACTGTTGGTCCACATATCAGTTGCCATATTGAGTATTGGTGGCTTGTTGATCTAGAGTCACACAAGTCTTGACTAATATATATGGCCAGTAGTCAGCCACCATAGTTTATCGGTGGTTCCTTCACTGATGGAACACCAACAGATCACCAACATATCGATTAAGTATTGGTGGCTTGTTGATCTAGAGTCAGACAAGTCTTGACTGATATATGGCTAGTAGTCAGCCACGATAGTTTATCGGTGGCTTAACTTCACTGATGGAACACCGACAGATCACCAACATATCGATTTAAGTATTGGTGGCTTGTTGATCTAGAGTCAGATAAGTCTTGACTGATATATGGCCAGTAGTCAGCCACCATAGTTTATCAATGGTTACTTCACTGATGGAACACCGAGAGATCACCAACGTATCACCAATATGTGATCAATGTAATAGATGATACCTTGGTTGACATATCGGCCGATATATCGCTCAAGAGTCGGTCAAGTATCAGTTGAGTCTAGACCGATATCTGGCCAGTAGTCGAGTATCAACCAATGTGTCGACCGCAAAGCGACCAGCGTTTTGACCAAGCATTGACTGCTACCATCAATTGAGGCTGCCTGTGAGACATAATAATATCAAGCACATTCTCTCTAAGATTAAAATAGGCTATCAGCTGTGTAACTATTAATACTGTCCACCTCATATCACCTGACAAGTACCTTGTAACCTTGTAAGGGAAAAGCCTTGGAGATGAGGTTGGTAAAAAAGTTATACAGGCGATGCTGATTATTGACTGATATACCACTGACACATTTCCAACACACTACTGGTGCTATCACGACTGACTGTTGGTCTATCTGTTGAGTGACACTTGACCAATACTTGACCGATGGTAAAATACTACTCGGCCAATGATATATTGACCGACTCTCAACCAACACCTGACTGATATAGTGACTGATATGTTGACCAAGAGCTGACTGAGATATCGATACATCAGTCAACACCCCCTGTGAGATGCATGATCCTATTAATATTGTATTCTGTTAGTAGGCAGGGGACTGTTTTTCCAAAATCCTTGTGACTTTTTGGCCCTTATGGCAAGTTTGAAAATCAAAACTAGCTATCTAGTAACATGGTTCCTAGCTCACAAATCAGTCAATTTTGTTTCATTTGCTAATAGTCTCATTTGATCATTTTCAAATCTATTAAAATGTTTATCTTGGATGTAAACATGGAAAACATAAAACAGCTTTCTAGGCCCAAAAAATTACCTGGACTTTTAAGAAAGAGACCCTCAAGTAGAAGCAGAGAGGTGAGGGTTTGAGGACTGCTGTTGTGTTTAGAAAAAGTATACTCCACTGTTGCTGTATGGTTGTTTTTTTTTCACCAACAGACATAGAAATGAACCAGTAGGAACAACAGATGAACAAGTGTGGAGAGCTAAAAAGATGTATGAATCAGCATTCCATCCTGACACAGGGGAAAAAATGTTCATTATTGGCCGCATGTCAGCTCAAGTACCCATGAACATGTCAATTTGTGGCTGTATGATGACATTTTACAAGTAAGTATCCTTTCATCCTTATTAGGGAATACAGGGTTTCCGTTGACGCACATGTGTGCATATTTTACACACAGTAATCAAAAAGGACACTCGCTTCTTTTAAGCCCAAGAGTTCCAAGGATGCACAATGTG